TTTCCACTGTGACCCCAAATTCCTTCCCTCCCTTGATCACAAGCTCAGAGGCAGCCTGGGACTCACAAAAAATTTTAAAAACAAAGCCAGTTCTACATTTCATGGCCGTCTGGCCTTTTCCATTCAGCTTTAAAAAGCTTTTACCATTTGACTTCTTACAACAGACGAAGCACTGAATTTATACAATCGAATGCTGGAAGCATCTTCATTTCACCAGGGAGGAAACTGAGGCTCAGAGAACTAACCTGCCTGTGATCCAGGCCGGGTTTTCCCGGATTCAACACGCTACCTACTGGAGTGTACATATATTCCTTCTTTCCAGGTGACCTCCTCCCATTGGGTGCCATTTTCCCCAGGGGCATCAGGTGGTTTGGCTCTTTCTGGCTTCCTCCAAGTGAGAACAGTAACAGGGGTTCATGGAGTGCCAGTGACAGAGGGAACTCTTTGGAGGCCCACGGATTACACTCTTTTGTGTTCAAACCTCGCATTCTCATGTAAGTGCAGGGTCCCCTGTTTAGCTTTTATTTTCCTCCAAATAAAAGCAGAGAGCCAAGGTGAGTTAAGCAGGAGCTGAACTTTGAGGAAATACATCTGCTTAAAGAACTGGCTGTGTAGGACTAGCAGATGGTGTAAGGGTTATGCCGCTAGATTCGCACATAGTCAACCGTGGTTTGAGTCAGGCTCGGAGGGGAGAAGAAAAGAAGCTCTTGCAGCTTTGCAAGCTACCCCAGGAGGCCTGGGGCTGGGGCTGGAGCTGAGTGAGCATCACAGGGCACCCAAGGAAAAATGAAGCCAAAGTTTCAGGTCAGTTCTGGCCAAAGATAAGAACCTTTTTTAAAAAGAATTAATTTAATTGTATGTATTTATTCACTTTTTTTTTCTTTTAATCCGATCAGAGAAAGACAGATAGAGAAAGTAAAGTGAGAAAGCAAGTCACCAGGTCCAGGACTCGAACCATAGTCAGCCATGTGAGAGTGTCCAGTGCCTTAACTGCTTAACTGCCACGCCACCTGCTGGTCTCAAGAAACTTTAAAAAGAGAGAGAGAGAGAGATTTTTGCTATAGGGCATGTACACTCCCAAGAGAGACAGAGAGAAATCATGCCCTGGGGGGATGGCCACACCACAATCCCTTCTCCATTCCCCTCGGGATTTTGGGCATGCATGCACACATGCCCAGCATGAGTTAAGCCACAGGGACTGGGACTCAAACCATGGTTGACTATGTGGAAATCACCGTCTGCTGGTCCCAAGAAACTTCTTTTTTTTTTTTTTTTTTTTTCAGAATTTGCTCAAGATGATTACAAAAGAGAGGGGAAAAAAATTTTTTTAAACTCCCTTCTTTCAAATTAAGTGGGGAAATATTTGTTACCGACAGGCCTTTGTAACCAAAGGTCCAAACAGATCGAAAAATGCTTCCTTTCCCTTTCTACAAGCAGTTGACCCAGGAAATAGACAACTTGCTTAACCCGCATGTGAAAATGAAGTTCAACCACTCAAATTTCAACCTCACCTTTTCCGCTTCTGGTTCTCCATCACCCCTCAAACAAGGCAGAAGAAAGGATTGCTTTCTACCCCTTCAACAGCTGTTCTGAAACAATAACCTCATTCATCTCTGTGGCACCAACCTCTGACTTAAGAAAAGCTGAAAAGCCTTTTTTCCCCCCCCTTTACATTGTCTTTTTCTCCAAGAAACTTTCTTTTACAAAAGACATTCTGAGAACTGGACAGTGACACAGCAGTAAAACATGATGCCCTGCGAGACTAACCTGTGTGGGAAGGTTCCACATCTGCATCCGGGGACCTCCCCAAGTAATCCAGGCACACCTGTGCCTAGGAGCCAAGGCTGGCTGAGGTTGGGGATGGGTCATGGAGTGAGGACCCTGTTGAAGATGTCTCTCTCTCCCTTCATCTCTCTTGTAATTTTCCACCTCACTAAAGAAATGAATAGGGGCCAATAGATGGCATGGTGTTTAAGGTGTTGGACTCCCATATGGCCACAGTTCAAATCCTGGACCTGGCAACTTGTTTTCTCATTCCCCTTTCCGTGCCCCTCCCCCAGGAGCACATGTGCCCCATAGCAAAATTTTAATAATAATAATAATTAATAAATGTAATAAACAATTCTTTTTTTAAAAAAAGAAATAAACGAACGTTTCTAAAACTTCTGTACTTGCAAACACTAACTTTTGCATGGTTCGCTGAGGAACCACAGAACTCATACACTAGCCGGCTGCGGGATTTGGGCTTGTGGGGGAAAAATAGGAAGTGCTCTTTCAGCTTCTTCCGGTCACTTCTGGAGACAAGCTTCCCAGCTACCAAAACAAACCCTTTCCCAGTTCCTCCTCCCACACCTATGAACTTTGTACCTTGAATAAGTCCTAGATTCCCCTCTAAACAGAACTGGACTATGTCCAGCCGATTTCTTCAGGTTCTTCAAACATTAACCAGCAGATGTTTTTGCAAGGGGTTTGTGTTTGGCTTCTGAGTTGGTTCCCAAGGCCCCAATGGAAAGTCCGAGGGCTGTAGCAGGAGCCTTTGCCCATCCCTCCCGGACTCCCTCACGCCCCTCCCACCAGCAGGACAGGAAAAGGAAGCCCTTTGTATGCGGGAGCCTGCTGGCCGGCTCTTTGCCTGCTCTCCTCCCCTCTCCAGGCACAGTGAGGTGCTGCAAGGAAGCCGGCAGAAAGACGCACAATCCCTTCTTAAGCTGATAGGGTAGAAGGTCCCAATAAACGTTCCTGGACTAGCGGGGGCCCCGTGGTTTGGGATGTGGCAGTGAGACGTTGGACTGCTTCTCTCTCCCAGGCAGCCACAGCAAAGCTGCTGGATTTGCACATCAACTCTGACCACTCCTCCCACCCAAAAAAGAAAAAGAGAGAGAGAGAGAGAGAGAAACAATGACTGGTTCTTTGAGCAGGCAGTAGGCGAAAAGGCCCGCTTACCCAGAAAGAAGGAAATGCCCCAGAGATCCTGCAGGAAGCAAGGTCTGTTCCCCGGAGAGCCTGGAAACCGATTAGGCTGAAGCCGTTAGAGGGCAGCATACGCCTGTCTCAACACCAGCAGGCTCCGGTCCGATTGTTGGTTGTTTTTTTTGTTTTGTTTTGTTTTTGTTTTTTTTTCCCCTTCCCAATTACAGGGTGTCTCAAAACGCAAAAACGCTAGGGCTCCAGCGTCAGCAGAAAAACAAGTTAGAGACCCGGGAGGGGGTGGGGGTGGGGGTCCCTCCAACTCCGAAGCTGTGCTAAAGAAAAGCTGCTCTTGGGGAAGCCAGGCTGCTTCTCCAGCGCAGCTCGGAAGCTCCGACTGCCCAGGCCAGCCCCGCCCGCCCCTGCAGAGCCCCAGGGCCCCTGAGCCGGTGCACCCAGAGCCGGCTGGGAGGCTCGGGCGCCGTGCCCTTTGTGTCACTTCGCTCTTTGGCCTCCTGGAACGCGAGGACAAAGGAGTGCCTTGGTGCTGGCAGAAGCTGGGGGGCACGGCTGGGTTTTACAAGGAAGGACGAAATCCGATCCCAGCAATCGGGATAGATCAGCATTGCTCGACTCTGCGCTGACCCAGTTCTGAGCAGAGCCGCTTGGCTCTGAACGCTCCTGTGTCACCCTCCCAGCCCGCACCCCGGCCTTGCCAGAGAGGTAAAAACGTGGCATCCTTCCACCGACGACGCGAGCTGCCACGGGGGCTGTCCCGTGCGTTTCCAAGGGCGCCTGGCGCAAACCATAACTCTTCTCCCATAGTGCCTCCTGATTCACTGAGGAGTCCCACCCAAAGGAGAGAGGTGGGTGTGCTTTCAGAGCCTAGGGCTGTGGAGTGGGCCAAGCCACAGTCCAGGCCACCAGGGACAGGGTGCAAGGGGACTTGTGCAACATTTTTATTTTCCTCCACAAACTCCTTGGGACAGCCCTGACGCATGATGCTGTCTGATTGGAAGACCTTTGACAAGCTCTGTCCCACAGGACTGCATGGATGAAAGTGTCAAGTAAGGGTGGCAGGTGACCAAACCCTAGCAATGAGATCTCTCCTATGTTCACCAGCCTGGCCTGGGCTGGAGTAGGGGTCCCTGCCCGCCTCTCCCCATCACCATGTCTCATTGTATTCCCTCTTCAGAGCTGGGGTCAGCTGCACCCTGCTCAGTTCTGTCATTCTGCATGTGTGCTGGTTCTTTAAAGAGCAATTACTGGGACCAGCAGTTGGTGGAATGACTATGTCACTGGACTCCTATGTAGTCAACCACGGTTCGAGTCCCAGAGCTGGTGGCTTAAACTCACACCGGGTGCGTGTGCGTGCATGCCCAAGATCCCAAGAGAATGGAGGAGAAGGGATTGTGGTGTGGCCATCCCCCTTGGGGGGTGATTTCTTGCTTTCTGTCTCTCTGTCTCTCTCTGTCTTTCTGGTGAGTGCACGGCACGTGCCCTATAGCAAAAACCTCTCCAAATAAACAAATAGCGAGCAATTACTGTTTGTCAAACATCATTCATAAATACTTCCTGTTCAGATCCTGCTCACTGCACCTCAGCTGGCTCTCCACGAACCCCAATTCTGTACTCTTTGTTCAGCAAGATCCACCTCTGGGATTCTTCCACCCCCTCACTCTGTTTAGTATTTTAGTTGACAAGGCCTAGGGATCCACTAAACTGGGGGCACGTGAGTTACAGCGATCGCGGGGGGCGTCTAGAATGCAGAGTGCTTCCAGCTGAATGGGCAACGTCTTGGGAGAGCTTCTGATTTCCGGTGGTGTTGGGCCACGTACCCCCACTTTATTTCCCGCTGATCACCATCTCAAAGCTGGATGGTGAATTAAAGAACCCCAAAGATTTCTATTTTTTAGTATTTATTTCATTTTATTTATTATTATTCTTTAATTGGATGAGAGAGAGAGTGAGAAAGCAAGCTTCTAGGTCCAGGACTTGAACCACGGTCGGTAATGTGGGAGTCCAGCACCTTAACCGCCACCGTCCCCAAAGCTTTCTATTTTCATTGCTAAATATTGAGAAGTAATACTGACCGTGGATACAGGGAATTAAGGAGGGACTGTGGACCACTCCTCTCCAGTGGTAGAAGCAGCAGAAGGCATTTACTGGTGCTGTCATCCAAGACTCAGTACGCACTTCTGATTTTCCTGAAATCCCTCCTTACTGATGATCCAAAAGGCTATAGAGCTGCATAAAAACAAAACAAAACAAAAAAATCTATTGGATCAATATTTGGTTAAGGTTAATCTGCTATGGTAGGTTTAATATAGAGTGCCCTTGTAGGGCCACAGTTGATGGGAAGTAAATGAAACTGCAGAAAGTGAAACTTTGGAGAAGGGAGGACCATGTGTCTGTCCCACAGTGTACTATACAAATTAAATAAAACAATGTAGATAGATCATTGAGTTCCATGTAGCCAGCCATAGTAACTGCCCAGTTGGTGTTAGCTGTTTACACTTAGGATCAACCATTAAAGGTTATGACTACCGTGTTGTTCAACCACACATCCGATGTTTGAATCTCTTTCTAAAATTCCACCAAGCATTCTATTTGTGTCATTCAAGAGATTTTTGTAATAAGGTGTATGTGTACTCACCAGAGAGAGAGAGAGAGACAGAAAGTGAGAAATCACCCCTCAAGGGGAATGGCCACACTGCAATCCCTTCTCCTCCATTCTCCTCTTGGGATTTGGGCACGCACGGGTACCTGGTGTGAGTTTTAAGCGGTAGGTCCAGGACTTGAACCACAGTTGACTACGTGAGAGTCCAGCAACATAACCATTACACCATATGCTGGTCTGGCATTCCAACTTTTCTAACAAGAAGGACTTACTTCCTTGTGAAGCAGCCCTGTCCATCTTTGGGCTGTTGCACGGTGCACCCTTGATTACAAATGAAGTCTGACCAGCGACCTTAAACCTCCTGGGAGCCATAAGTCTGATTTCTCGTCCTCAGTATTAGAATATTGTTATCACATCCCCTTTTCCACCACTCTAACACCCCTGGATCTTTCCACCTGTCCTGGTCCTGGTTGCTCTTGGCAAACGCGGATAGTTGACTGTTTCCCTAGGGTGTGGTGCTGGACAGCCTGGCTTGCTCCAGACGTCTTTCAGTAGTGAAGACTCATCTCAAATGAGCTTTCGGGGGTGACGGGGATGGAGGGTCCTTTTTATCTTGCTTTTAGCTAAAACGCTTCAAAGTCTTTTTCACTGCTTCATCTCATCTCCCTCATCCTGGACTTGTGCGATTCATTTTCCACCCATGCAAAAAAAGTGATGTCTTTTCTTATTAGATGTAGTCCATTTCCATATCTTCCAGGATGTTTTAGGATCTCGATTCTGGCATCCTAAACGCATGCTATTCTCTCCCAACAAGGAGTGACCGACAAATTTAGTAAAGAGTGACCTCCATGATTTCAATCGGGTAACATAATGAGAGTGTTGGCTGGAGTCGTCCACTGGGGAAGCCCAATTTTGATATTCAGAGCCCTCCTGATGAATTCTCCACACCCCCCCCTCCAGGGATACCTTGTCCCACTACCCGCTGTCTCTGGAGTGTCTTCTGCTGGTCAAGGCCTTCATAGTAAGTGAGGAGGAGGAGGTCAGAAGCCTTTGGGGTAAAGGAAAAAGAAGGAAGCATGGAGGAGGGGATTGGAGCCCCAAAGAGTGGGGTGGGGGAGTGTAGAGGATTGAGCAAAACAGAGACAGTAAGGAATCAAAAACCAACCTAAGCTATAGATCACTGGGTAAGTCAAAAAGAAAGGAGACAGAAGATATAAAATATTAGATGAGAGTGCCACGGCATGATACTCTCGCCCTATGGGAAGCCTGGGTTGGGATCTCAGGCTGATCTGTGCACAGGAGAGAAAGCAGTGCATACCTGTGATCCTGGCTGGGTGCAAGCTGGGGGAAGGATCATGGCATGAGGAGACCCTGCCAAAACTGCCTTTCTCTCTCTCTAAAGAAATTTATATATACACACATATATATAGCCAGCAGGTGGTGTGGTGGTTAAGGTATTGGACTTCCACATGGCTGACTACAGTTTGAGTCCCAGATCTGGTGGCTTGACAGTCACACCAAGGGCATATGTATGCATACCCAAAATCCCAAAAGGAGAATGGAAAAGAAGGGACTGTGGCATGGCCATCCCCCTGGGAGGTGATTTCTCACTTTCCCTCTCTTCATGTATACATATATACATATGTATACATATATGTTCAAATATATACGTGTGTATGTATATAATAGCAACCATTTACATAGCATTTAAATCGTATTAGGCATTATAAGTAATGTTGAAGTATGCTGAAAGTATGCATAGGCTATATGCAAACATTATGCCATTTATATAAGGGACTGTGCTTCCACGGATTGTGATACACGGGAATTCTGAAACTAATCCCCTGCTCATCCCAAGGTGTTGTAATTCACCAAGTAAAGTCTATGTATAAGGCAAGGGAAATGGGGCTCTACATTTCGTAGGGATGAATACCAGATAATTTTGAATACCAAATATTTTTAAACTACCACATAGATATATAAAAATAGCATCTAGGTCATACAAAATGAGGCCAAAGGGTCAGTTCGAAGGAAACAAAAATTATAACTGTAATATATAAAACGATGCAGATTTGCTGTTAACTATATCGGCCCAGTTTGGATATGGCAAACAATGACTATTGACTTAGCTAAGATCAGTGATACAGCTAGAGAGCTATATAAGGGGAATGGAGAGAGATACATAGGAAAATATAAGAGAACTACATTCCCATTAATCCTACTAGGAAGCCCATAGATCTTACCTATAGCAACAAATCAAACACAGGACTATCACGGGGGCCAGATGGTGGCACACAACACTGCTCTACAGCACTGACCCACGTGGGAAGATTTTGAGGTCATGTCTGCAGACCTCACTGAGTAGGCCAGGCATGCATGTGTCTGAGTCTGGGGCTGGCAGAGATGGGGGTGGATTGCAGTGCCCAGGCTGTTGGCACTGTAATGGTTACAACACTCTGGAAGACCATTTGGCAGTTTTACAAAACGATGAATACTTCAACCACATGATCCAGCAATTGTGCTCCTTGGTACTTACTCAAATGAAACAAAAACAGGCCCACACAAAACCCTGCACACACATCTTTTTAGCTGCTTGATTCATAATGGCCAAACTTGGATGCAATGAAGATATCTCTCAATAAGTGGAGAGATTAATAAAATGTGGTCCATCCAGATAATGGAATATTATCCAGCATTAAAGAGAAATGAACTGGGGACAGCAGGTGGTCTCATGGTTAGGGTGCCAAATTCCCACATAGCTGCCACGGTTTCAAGTTTGAGACCCAGTGGCTTCAAAACGACAACCAGTGAACAGATAAGTAAATAAATAAATATGTTTTAAAAAGAGACCAATGAGCCATAGAGCCATGAAAAGACACAGAAGACTCTTTTTTTTTTTTTTTTTTGGAGAGATTTTCACTGTAGGGCGCGTGCGCTCGCCAGACAGACAGAGAGAGACATAGAGACAGAAAGCGAGAAATCACCCCCCAGGGGGGATGGTCATGCCGCAATCCCTTCTTCTCCATTCTCCTCTTGGGATCTTGGGCACGCACGCACACGCGCCCGGCGTGAGTTTTAAGCCACCGGGTCCGGGACACGAACCGCGGTCGACTACGGGGGAGTCCAGCGACATAGCCATTACGCTAACTGCTGGTTCCAAGACACAGAAGACTCTTAACTGTGATCTGAAAAGGGTGCATACTATCTGTGTGTATACTCCATGAAATTCTGGAAAAGGCAGACCATGAGGAGGTTGCCGGAGTCAGCTGTCATCAGAGGTTGGGAGTAGAGGAGGGATAAACGGGCAAATCACAGAGGATTTTAGGGCAGTCGAATTACTCTGTGTGACATAACATGATGGGGACCTGTTACTACTTATACATTTGTCCGTAGAATGTACAGCACCCAGAGGGAACCCCAGAGGAATCGATAGGCTTTGGGTGACAATGATGAGCACCAGTTGTAACAAACGTGCCCTCTGGAGCAGGCTGCTCATTAAGGGTGGGAGAGCCTGCGGGGGTAGTAGGGATGGGGGTGTATATAAGAACTCTACTTCCTGTTCCATTCTGCTGTGAACTTAAAGCTGCTCTAAAAATAAAGCTTACTAAGGGAAACAGCACTCTCGTGGTCTGGTCTCCCAGCGTAGCTCTGTTTTTCCACCTCTCAAGTGCCCGCCAGCTGTGCCCACCTCCTCTCCTGGCTTGTCCGCATGGTGGGGTCTGGTTTCAGTGTGTGGGTTACCAGGAGGAGCGAAAGCGTTGCCAGAAGCCTCTCTTTGGATAAGAGACACAGGGAGTGAGATAAATATGTTTTTCAATCAAGAGCCTGGGAGTAGGAAGGGGAGGAGAGGAAGAACGGTTGCTGGGGCACCCTCCAGCGAGGTTTGGTCACACGGCAATCCCTTCACCATTTCTCCTTCACTTAGGGATTTGAGGCCTATACGCCTACACACCTGCTGTTTTTCAAGACACCAGGGTTACATCAATTTACCTGGGTTCCTTTGATCCCTTGACCCCTCCCGCTAATGCCCCTGTCCTGATGACTCTGATGGAGAGGTCTCTGGACCATTCGTACTGAGACCCGAAGACTGTACCATCCACCTGAGTCAAGCAAGTGACAAGGAGGTGACCCCTTCCTGGTCCCCAGAAGCTCCCCCTTGGTCTCTACAACAGCTTAAGGGCAGATCTTCTCATTAAGCCTATGGCACCCTGGTGGGTCCTGCATGATAGGTGGCCTTGCCTCCTACTGACCTAGGAAAGGGGAGCAGGTCAGCCCCTGCCTCACACTGACCCCTACCCACTCCTGCCCACCGCAGGCCTGTACCCTGCATGCTGGCTCCATTCTACGCTCTTCTAAATCCTCTCCCTGCTCTCTCCCCCCTCCCTCACCACTTGTCCCCTTTGTCACATCATCAAGTTCTCTCCAGCTAAAACCCAAGCCATCATAAAGACAATCAACAACAAAAAGATTCTCTCCGCCATAGCAGGAATCTCACCACACAGTGTCACCGAAGAGGCTGCCGCTGGATGTGACTGGGTGTTGGAAGGGGTGGGTCCATGGGTTTGACTGGAGTAGGCTGGGTGGAGCAGGCACAGCGAAGTCAGGCTTGAGAAGTGGGGCGTTCTCTTTGGTGTGTTCCTCCCTCAGCCTTTTTCTGGCACTCCGAACCCTCTGCGAGACACACCTTAGAGAAAGGAGCCTGCTTCTGGAAGTAAATCCCAGTGAAACCCACATTCCAACCGCCAAGCAAAAAGGAGCACACAAAAGCAGAAGGATGAGATCAGACTCCCCTTCACGCTTGCGCCCTTCCAGCTTCCACCCTCTCTTTTCTGCCACATGCTCTAAAAGTAACTCCTTTTTAGGTTCTAATTTAATTGACTTTGATTTTTGAAAGTTTCTTTCATGCCAGCAAAGAGAGAAGAGGAAGAGGAAGATGCTCGATGGGGTCCTCTCTGCTATCACCACCCCTCCTGTCCAGGCAGACAGGATCAGGGGCTCACACTGGATCTACCCAGTCAGTTCAGCATCTCTGGAGCTGAACCTACACCCCGTGGCTAGCCCCACTTGGTGTCTTTGTGGTTTCTCTTGAAACCTCCTGCCAGCTGGCTTCTGGCCCCACCACACCCCTGCTGACCAGCTCTTATGAAAGGGACCGGGTTCTGCTGAACTTCCAAGTCTAACAGACACTCATTCTCCTCTTAAAGATGGTCTCTGGACTTGCCACTCTTCCTCCTTGACATTTGCCTTTAGAGCCCCCCTCCTGTGGTTCTCCCCACCTCAACCTTTCCTTCTTAGGCAGCTCCACGAGCTTCTCTCCTGCCAATCGTCTTGACGTGTCAGCTCTCCCCAGAGCTCCCTGCTGGTTCTCTCCGTCTCTCTATACACTCTCTCCGGGCAGTCCAACCTTCACACTTTCACAGGTCCCACATGTCCTCACGACTCCTAACTCTGGACCTTACCCCATTATCAAAGCGAGATGAAATCAGAAGACCCTTCTAGGCAGTAATCCCAGTTATCAGCAGAAACCAAATGCCCTAAGACAGTCAAAAGGGCTCAAGAGGGTCCAGCAGTTAGTGTAATGGCTATGTCACTGGACTCCCATGTAGTCGACCACGGTTCGAGTCCCGGACCCGGTGGCTTAAACTCACGCCGGGCACGTGTGCGTGCGTGCCCAAGATTCTGAGAGGAAAATGGAGGAGAAGGGATTGCGGTGTGGCCATCCCCCCTGGGGGGGGGGTTGATTTCTTGCTTTCTGTCTCTGTCTCTCTCTCTCTGTCTGTCTGGCGAGCACACACGCCCTATAGCAAAAACCTCTCCAAAAAAAAAAAAAAAAGGGCTCAAGACACTCCTTCTGGGTGCTGGCTGGGTGCAGTCAGCTTTGTGTCTTTTAGATGAGACTTGTAAGAGCTTCATGGATGGGGCGAGAGGTGGGCAGTGGAGGCAAATGGGTATAGTGAGGAAAGGGTTCCCTCTTAGGATCAAACAGAGAAGGGTTAGGGTTCCAGTGAGACCACAATAAATTCCCTCCCAACCCCCACGACACTCAGCTGTTTCTGCATCTGCTCCAGCTTCAGTCACAGAAGTGCAGTTCTTAAGTCTCCAATATAAGCATGCATCTGTTTTCATCCTTATTCGGGATAGGGGAAGGCTGTGTAAGTCCTTTTATATGAAGAATCCGCTGAACGGAACATTTGTTACTATTTAATTAGAACAAATAAAAAACATAACTGCTGCATAAAATGGAAATTGCACGAAACCTGATAAGCATATGCCGAGAGACCTACCACAACCTGCATTCTTGTCGATGGGCATCGCCGAGGGACATTCCGACCAGTCCCCACGGTGAGTGGCAATGCCCTGACCATCAGCCGGTGAGACGCACCCCCAGAAGCATTTTGTAAAGCAGCCATCAGAACACAGGCACCATATTATGCTAGAAATGAATGTCACACTTCAAGCGACGTGGATGAAATGAAACAACAAATCATTCATGTTCGGTGACTAATAATCAAATAATAAGGTTATACCCACTGTAAAAATGTCAACAAGCTGGGAAATGTTAAGAGAGCAGAAAATTTGAGCCAGATGATGCAAAACAGGCAGAAGTAGAGAACTTGGGAATAATTCTGCTTGTCTAGGGTCAGAATGGGAAGGATCTTTCATGCCATGTACGGTGGCAATACTACCGCGGACAGGCGAGGTGTAAGTTTGCATCCATGACCTAAGCCCGGCCCGGGGCACTAATGAGATGGCCCTGCAGAGGCAGAAGGTGACTTCACTGATAGTGTCAAGAGCCCAGGGCAGCTGTGGCCCGAGCTGAAACCTCTTTCTAATGATCATCTGTAATAGGACTTCCAAATTGACATCCCAGCCCTCACCGCCTTCATCTCTCCAGAGCCACGTGATCAATTGTCTGTCTAAGACACCCACATGGGCCAGTCTAGTGACACAATGTTAACTCAACGCTCTACAATGCTGAAGCTCCATGGGAAGGTTCCAGATTCATGTCCCAAGGTCTCCCTGTACGTTCCAGGTACAAGCACACATGTCCGTGATCCTCACTGGCCCCATTAGGGGTCTCTCTCTCTCTCTGTCTCTCTCTCTCTCCTCTCTCTCTCTCTCTCAGAAGAAACAAATAGATAAACAAATACTTTTTTATAAAAAGAACTATTATTATTATTATTATTATTATTATTATTATTATTATTATTATTTAATTTGATCAGAGAGAAAGGGAAAGTGAGAAATCAAGCCACCAGGTCCAGGACTCAAACCATGGTTAGTCATGTGGAAGTTCAGTGCCTTTAAACACCATGCCACCTGCCAGTCCCTAAATAAATACTTTTAAAAAATTAATGAAACATCTACATGGATGTCTGTGTTTCCAACCCAATATGTACACAACCAAACACTTAAGTCTCCACAAACTCGATCCTCCTCCAGCCTTCACAGCTTCCGTGGCACCCCTGTGTACTCACTGCTCATGCCAGGACCCCAGGAAGGCAGTCCTGATTCTCGCCCTGTCTTCCCACCTGACCTCTGAGCGCATTCACCATTCTCCATGCCCCGCTTCCACTTCATCTGAGTCACGCTCGTCACTTGCCTGGGCGTCCATAATATCCTCCTATGCTGTCCCCTTGCTTCCATTCTCACCCTACTCCATTATCCATTCTCTATACGGCAGAGAGAATAACCTAGAACAAAGCCTAAATCCACGGCTTCCAGTGGCTGTCAGGATACTCCAGCCTCTGCAGGCTCTTGGCATCTGCCCCTGCTTACCTCTCATTTCACCTGCAGAGAACATTCTGCCTACATGAGTTCTATTCCCAAGGAGTTCTCTTGCATCTGCCAATACTTTCCATAAAGAAATCAAGCTCCCATTCAGGCTTAAATGCAAAATAGAGTCCAGCTTTCCTCCTGAGAAGGCCAAACTCCAAGCGGGTCCTATCTCACTCACTTTAAGATTCTTGAAAAGCAATCCCAAATCCAGGCCAGACTCCCTGCCCACGTGTTCCCCACCCACACCCCTGCAGCGCTGGCTGCCTGTTTTGGTCAGCACCACAGCTGGGCCCTGCCCCTTCAGAAGCTGAGGCTCCAGTGAGGGTGGTGGATTTACGGTGCAAGGTTACACAGCATGTAAATCTGGGCCTCAGGAATCAAGGGCTGTGACATTTTTACTGCCTTCTCCCCCAAGCCAGTGCATGGATATGGAAGAGTGGGAGGGAAGAACATCTGCTTTCACTATTTTTGTTCACTACCACAGATCACATCTGACAAAATCCGGGATCTTGCCAGGGCTCTGGTTCCTGGCTGAATGAATGAGCAGACAGGTTCTCTCTAAGAGATCTTGCTTTGCCTGTATCGTCATGGAGAAAGAAGCTACCGGGAATGAAAAGGTCACCACCATTGCATTGAAACAAAGCATTTGCTGAGCCTGGACCTGGGTGGCCACCTGCCAGACTGCCAGAAGATAAGGAGGGGCATTTCTAGGGAAGGCAGGAAGCACCTGCAATCTCTTTTTCAAGAGAAAGGATGGGCAGAGGACTTCTGTGCAAAGGATGCTGGGACTTGTAGTCTTCAGAGGCAAGATGGCCGGATAGTCAACAAGAGTGTTGGCTAGTGGGCACTTTCTTATTACAGATTCCAAGATTAATCTTGGACAGGAATCTCCATAGTGATGGCTACCATGTCTCTGGGCCAGGTGGCGATAGTGCAACTGGACCCACAGAAGAAGGTCTCGAGTTCTCATCCTGGAATCTCCCTGTGCATGTGTGTGCCCATGTTCCAGGCTGTCTGAGACAGAACTGGAGGGCGGATTGCAGCATGAAGATGACATGGATCCTGGTCTTTCTCTCTCTCTCTCTCTCTCTCTCTCCTGGGAGAAATAAGTAAATAAATGCTATATGTATATATATTATATGTATATCTATTATATATTATAGCATCGCTAAAGGTCACCTTGAGAAAGTGCCCACGGGAACACACCTTGCTCAATCAACTCTAGACCCAAAGATAAGCAACTCTGATTAGATGCATCCCTGTAGGCATGACTTATCTCATTCACTACGTGGTCATGAAGGGCCCCACCTCATGACAAGGGGCTTTCTTTTCATCTGACTGAGAACGCCATGCGGAGCAACTTCAGAAAAGTGTATCCCTCCTTGTCTGTCCAAGAGGAGCCAGGGAGGATGATCAGAACAATCAGAAACAGGTCCTCTGAAGAATGTTCCTCTGCCATGAACAGGGCACTGGATAATCCTGTCCCTAATCTCAGCAGACAGCTCTGGTCAGACCCGGGGAGGGAGACAGTAATCCGTCATTATCTGCTTCCCAAACTATGCTTTGGCTCAAATATGCCAGGAAAGAAAGAAAGAGAAACAAAGTCCCAGCAGAACATTGTACAGTGGCCCCGTGAGGACAGCCAGAACAACCAGATCTGCCCATGGGACTCCACCATGTTCTCTTACCAGGACTCCCCCACAGTGGATTCTCAGTCAACCTGGCTCAAGATCCCTCAGAAGCTCTCACAGCCTATTAATAAAACTCCTCTTTACAAATTTGTGTGTATGGCCCTATCGTCCCATCCTCCCACTCACTTCCTGAAATCTACCAGAGAGGATTGTTTGCTGATGTGAACAGTGACCTATGATTGAGTACTCATTAAAGACTAGGAGCTGTGCAAAGCATTTGTACACATCATCTCATTTAACCCCGCACAAATCCAGGAGTAGGTACTATTCTCCCCACTTTTTAGATGATGAATCTAAGGCACAGACGTTAAGGTCTTCACGCCACCTACTGGCATCAAACACGCAGCCTCGGA